GCAGGTACCGGGTCACGGGCCGGGTCACGGGCCGGGCCACGGGCCGGGCCGCCCGTGGCCATGTCTATGTTCATCTAATGTTTTTCACGTGACGAAGTTGGTCCATTTGCGCAACGACGGCTCGGACGGAGGCGGGATCGGTTCAGATTCGAGGCCGAATCCTTCTCAACCGGGGGAGGATGATGGAGACGAGATCGCAGTCGCGTTTCTCAATAAATATGACTGAATGTCGTTGCTTAATTAATTATTTTTCTCTTTCCTCATTATTATTATAGTTCCTTATTTATTTTATTTAAAGTTAAGAAAATAATTATTGAGTTTTATCTTGTTTAGAAAGTTAAGTTTATTGGGAGTCTAAGACTATATATTTATGTTTTCTCTTTATAGCGAGAATAAATTTGCAGTTTATGTGCTATTGTGAGTTCTTCGCGAGAGAGTATCTCGTATTCTCCCGTTCTTATTCATCTCTGCATCAGCCATTTTTATTCATCTCTAAATCAGGTGGTGACATGTTTTTTCACCCAGCCTCCATCCCTTTCCGAAGTGGCACTCTCTCAAGCCTTTGGTGGCCACGATGGGTTCAGCGGGTTCGGGCGGAATGGCTGTCGCTGCCGGATATGTGCCGCTTCGGCGGTGGTCGGGTCCGTTAATTACAATTGGGCACCCTGGATCCGTGTCGTCCCTGGTGCTACTTGGACGGGGCTGACGACGGGGGTTGTGGTTTATGTTTTTCGCAACCTTTGTCGGTTTTGGTGCGGAGGTGTATTCGGTGGTGGGTTTCTTGGTGTGGCTCCTTGTTGGTTCCCATGGATGGAATTGTTGCTAGCTTTTGGCCCGAGTTTAGTCAATCGCTCTTTGGAGTTAGAGTTTCTCGATCCGGTGCTAGGGCAATAGGCCTTTCCTTCTCAGGTGGCTATTTGCAGGTGTTGTCTTCCCTGTGGCGGTAGGAGGGGTATGCTGGTGTTGGGAAATGCCTTTTCATGCTTTCGTAGTTTTTTGTGTTGTCTTTTTAGGTTGTGTTTTGTGTTGTGTCTAGTGCTTTTGGGTTGTGTTTGTAAATTCGTTTTGGGTTGGTTTTTATTCTCCCTTTGGACAATTGTTATTTTCCACAAGTGGGATTAGTATTCTAGTTTTTGTTAGTTTTGAATCTATTGGGTGCATTTAGTATAGTGGTTTCTAAGCTACATTCGCCAAACTTGTATTCCTCTTTTGGATTCTAACTTTTATCTGGTTCAAAATTGTAATTATGTGTTTGCAGTAATGCTCTCCTACCCACAGTGGGCACATGTTAATATGTCCACGGCTTATGTGACATGCCCACATTGGTGGTGTATTTTTTTGAACATATTTACATCACCAATTTGTGCATGCCACATAAGTGGTAGTCATATTAACATGTGTCCACCGTAAATAGGAGAGCATTATCCGTTGTGTTTGTTTGTTGGTGATATTAATCTCGTTTCCACCCAAAAAAAAAAGAAAAAAAAGTTATATATTCGTGCTCTTCACTGAGCAATTTACCAATAAAAAAAATAAAAAAACATGTGGACAAAAAAAAAAAAAAGAAAAAAAATGGAGTGGACAAAAATGAAAAGGACGTATTTAAGGAATATAGAAAACGTATTCCTTAAATACGTACGTTTTACAATTAAAAAAATAGTAAAACGTATTCATTGAATACGGACTTTTTATTATGATCCACTCTTATTTGTTTGTGTATTTTTTTTTTCCACAACTTAACTTTTTTATAATTTTTTAGTAAAAAATTCGCTCTTCACTCTCTCTCTTTCTCTCTCTCTCTCTCTCACACTCACAATCTCTGTCCACGACCATCACTACCCTTTCGCTGTAAGCATATTCACAAGCTTTGCATATCCTTTTGTATTGCGTTGAATTTTTCTTGGTTTCATCCGTTCGATTCTTTATATAGCTTCTGAATTTCCTGTCCTCGGCGTTTTCAGTTCTGAAAATTTGAACAGAAGATGGTGGTTTTTAAGGTTGCCCGCGTGGACACGACCCCGATCGATGGACAGAAACCTGGGACTTCTGGTCTTAGGAAAAAGGTCTTTTCTAATACTTGTTATTTATTATTTGCCCATTTTCTTCGGCCATTGTTGCTAATGTGATTGGAATGGGCTCGGCGATGTAATGTCAGCAGTGATCTGTTTTCTTCTCTGATTGATGATTTGTTTTTGCATGAAGAAACGTTTCGTTAAAGGATATTATAAGATCAATGTTTGTGAAACAGCAACGTTTCATTTCTTAGGAATTTGACACAAAGATAATATTTCTACTAGTATAAATGGATATGGATATCGTTGGCAGATCTGACCAATCTAACAGAAGCATCACTATATTTCACTATGTTTAATTTAATCAGATTTATTTTTGAAATTCAATTATTGGTTTGCAGATCAGGTGTTTTCTTGGGACCTGTTATTCCATATTTGTTAGTGTATTTGATCAAGTGAGATTGGTTGATACTATGTGCTTATGGCACTGGATTTTGTTCAACCCCCAGTATATAGTGACAAGAAAGTTATGTTGTACCTACTCGAACCATCAGTTTTGATCTTATCCGATCACCTATGTTTAAACAGATTTTATATGGATGTATGGAACAATCTGAAGTCTCAAATCACAGAAAAACACTAATTCCCTGTATTTCTATGGTTGGGGCATCTTGTAATTAACTGCTAATGGATCATTTGATGCTAGGAGGATGTCGACGTTAATCTTAATATAAGAGTTCTGAGTTTCTTCATAAGGCGATTGAATATAATTTTACCTTGAATGACTTCGTTGGTTTTGGCTGAAATTGCTGAAAACTCAAGCAAGTTACGAACTCTTGGTTCAGGTTAAGGTATTTAAGCAACCACATTACCTGCAAAACTTTGTCCAATCCACGTTTAATGCACTTGGAGCTGATAAAGTCAGAGGTACATGTTTCAGCCACTCTCTCTCCCCCTCTCTCTTTCTTTCTTTTAAATTTATAAAAAATAAAAAAATAAAACTTGAGATGTACAGTATCTGGGAATCAGGAATTAGTCTTTTTATCCAGGATATTTTGAGTGTTTAAAGCTGCCCTGAATGATTTAAACAAGTTTCTTTCGATCCGAACAGACCCTGCATGTTTTTGTTGTTTGTTTATGGCTGTGAAGGGTTACGAATAGGTACCATTTAGTTTTGGAAAGTTGCATTTAACTTTTGGAACTGGGCTGTATTCTATCTTGGTTCAATAATTTGCAACATGAAGTGATCCACTAATGTCAGTTCAGGCTTTTGTCTGATGGTAAGTTTTGGTGAAGTTGATTGAACAAACTTCAGATGCTTTTTTGTTGTTGGACTATATTGGTGAAAATTGAGAAGTACTACATATTAACTATATTTACCATAATGCTTGAAGCAGCGGCTAGCAATTTCTTTCTTTCTCTCTCTCTCTCTCTCTCTCTCTTTTTTTTT